CCCTCCCCCTCTCCTTCCCCCTCTCCCCTCCCCCTGTTTCAATTTCATCCTGAGGAGAACCCTGATATTTACATAACGTTTGTGGATCGTTTCCTTTGGCTATAATACAGTTTTGAGTTATCTCTCATTACCTCCGCGCAACGGAGTTGCAGGGAGGTAATGTAATCGCTCCCGTGTGTGTGTTCGTGTGTGTGTTCGTGTGTGTGTTCGTGTGTGTGTTCGTGTGTGTGTGTAGCCAGCAGCGAGCCAGCTGTTATACACATGTATACATGTTACACGCGTTGGCGTGATCGATTCAGCACCAGCTCGCCTTAGGCTGTCCAGTCAGCAGCAGCTCGCCTTAAGGCGTCCAGCCAGCAGCAGCCAGCAGCGAGCCAGCTGTTATACACATGTATACATGTTACACGCTCGCGGAGGTATGCACTCTTTTTGAGTGCCCTCTGTCTAGTTACTTATGTTTTATGATGATAAAGTTTATGGAATGGCAACATGTGCCAGCAATGCAGATAGTTAATATGTGGCTATTACAACAGTCAAGCATACAAACGTACAAGTATGATGTGCTGCAGCTACCTGCCACTTGAACACTGACATGTATGCACAGATGGAGTTATATTTCTGTATTGTCTGAGACATAAATAATAACTGATGATGCATCATTTGTATTTTTGTTTCTTGCATGTAAAATTCAGCTAACTTAGATTCTCTACATACTTTCTGATTGGTGACTTTCAATTCGCAAAGATACACAGCATACGTGTTGCTATATTATTTCCAGATGTTACTAAACTATTTCTAGACAATGCACCAGACTATTAATAGTATTATAACTGCCAGATTTGGGGAAGGGGCTGTGTGTGAAATCAACCTTTGCTGTAATGTTGATAGAGAAATGGCTCAGAATCTGATTAGGAATAGAGCTAGCTTCTAATAGAAGTACAGGATAATATAGTTATGCAGCTTTTCTAAGCACTAAAACTTGTATTAACACAATACTCATGTCATGAATACGATTCGCACTTGCACAAGGGATAGATGTGATTAAAAACCACTTGCCCCTTGAAAAACTGGGCAACAGTGGATCGTGCTGTTATTATTGCATTATTGATGGGGGTACAGTATAACCGAAAACCCGCACTAAAACAGTTAGATACAATAATGTAACCCAACAAGAGTAGGGTTACAACGCAAGCCCATTCTTTTCTTTGGAGGAGCCCCTGAGTGATTCACTCAGGGTGGTTTTATGGTGCGCTTTTGAGACTAGAACTTCCAAACTGGGTTTATTCTAAACACAAACCTTTCTCCGTTATCCTGGGACTTACTATGTATCACAATACTCTGTATTAAACTAATATAACATGTTACAAAATTTCGAAGTGACGAGTGGCGATATTTCGAGCGCCATTTCTGTTGACCTGTGACGTACGCATTCCCAATGCGCATAGCATTCGGCTACCTTTGGCTCCTGTGTTGCCTGACATGCTGCTCTGGTGACATCATGACTGACAGCAGGCATCCCATAATGCATTTGATCTTGGAGCCGAAGTTAGCCGAACGCTATACGCATTGGGAATGCGTACGTTACAGGTCAACAGAAAGGGCGCTCAAAATATCGCCGCTCGTCACTTCGAAATTTTGTAACATGTTATATTAGTTTAATACAGAGTATTGTGATACATAGTACCGGTAAGACCCAGCCTCAGGATAGCAGAGAAAGGTTCGTGTTTAGAATAAACCCAGTTTGGAAGGTCTAGTCTTGAAAAACGCACCATAAAACTGCCCTGAGTGAATCACTCAGGGGCTCCTCCAAAGAAACGAATAGGCTCGCGTTGTAACCCTACTCTTGTTGGGTTACATTATTGTATCTATAAAACAGTAGCCGTAGGCTAGCAAGTGCTCCGTCGGCTTCGGACCCCCGGCGAAGCGCATTGTAGCCGTGTAAGGTATACTGTAGGTTATCAGAGTAAAATATAAGTTATGACTAACACATAACGATATAGTATATGCCCCTAGAAGACAGACTGTTGAGTAATCAAATTAATCCCGATCCAAGTAACTCACTCAGTGACTCACCTGTAATAGGAAAGCAGACCATTTGAACTTAACACAAACCATCGTTTCTGATACCCCTTCAAATAATTTGTCCATTTGTAAAGCCACCCTTTGAACTGAGGTTCTGCTGGTGGTTCTTTGGAATCACTCATTCTGTTCAAAATGAATTGGACTTAGCTATTAGTATTACACTTCCAAACACAACATCACCCATTACGCCGAACATGGCTACAGCGCCCAACAACACACACAATACAGTTCCACTACTAACCACAACCCTAATAGCAGCAATAAAACCCCCTACTGCACAACGTCAGTTACTTGTTGATAGTTTATTTTTTTTATATGATACTCACATGCATCTTTAGAAACTATTTATTGAAATATAACTACCTATAACGCAAATGTTAAATAAAGTATAAAGTTTTTTCATGTTTCTAAAAATAGCCGAGTGCGCGTACGAATATAAAATGCTCACTTGTTCGGTATAGTGCGTTAGAGTAACACCAGGTGGTGATTGGTGTACGCTAGAGTTTAGTGTACGCTAAGTTTCTCGCTTTTTTTGCGAAAAAAACAAGTATTCCGCAAGACGCTGTATCATACAACTAAATGTCGATAAGCTCCTAATACTGCTGTAATACAACGCCTTGGTCTATACTAGGAGTGAATAGAAATTATTTGTTTCTCCAATGTGTTTCGTGCGAACATTGTCGCATATTTTGTTCACAGAAGACGCCAAACTGCCAAACACGCACACCCACACGCGCCCCTTCCGTCCTTCGTACGACTCATGACACCTTATAAGAATTTTCAGCACATGTCCAGGGAGAGTTTTCTTCAGACGGTGTAGTAGCTGGACTGCTTAACCAATTTGGAGCAGATGGGGCAATGGCCCAGTACGTTTATGGCCGAGACTATACGCACGGCGGCCGTGTGGATAAGATTCGATATGGCTATACGCACGGCGGCCGTGTGGATAAGATTCAATATGGCTATATATACGCACGGCAGCCGTGTGGCGGACTCAATATGGCTATACGCACGGCGGCCGTGTGGATAAGATTCAATATATGGCTATACGCACGGTGGCCGTATGGCCGACTCAATATGGCTAGGAATGAGGAAGGGGAGAAGGGAGAAGCTGCATGGTGGAGAAGGAGGAAGGGGAGAAGGGAGACGGTGGTGGAGAAGGAGGAAGGGAGAAGCTGGTGGAGAAGGAGGAAGGGGAGAAGGAAAAAGGTGGTGGAGGAGGAGGGGAGAAGCTGGTGGAGAAGGAGGAGGGAAGAAGGGAGAAGGTGTTGGAGAAGGAGGAGGGGGAGAAGCTGGTGGAGAAGGAGGAGGGGGAGAAG